GAATTAAGAGATACTGACCGTAGATAGCAAAGATCAACGGCCGAAATCTCCTAATTTGCGCAAGTGGGACCTTGCCCCCGGCAACAGCAGCACATACACATGAATCGGCGACAATGTCATATTCTTATAAACATAGCCTTCACATGTCACACGTTTGGAACTGAAGTTGATTAGACACACCGGTACGTTTCCCATCCAAAGAATAAAATATGCGCCTTGCATGCAGGGGCTCAGCCTCCGGAGCAAAATGGGTGGGGCCACTCTTGTGGAACCTGACATTGCTGCAATGAAATCTGACATTGCTGCAATGATCAGTGAGACACAGAAGTGGCTTGGGTCAGGCGATCGTATTCGCAAATGGCCTCATGTTCAGTGGGTGAAAGTCCCGAAAACATTGGAAACCGGGGAGGAAATATCACCTATATTTTTGTTCCTCGATGCAAGACAAACGCAGAATGCTTGTGAAGTGGAAAACATGCCGCAGGCCAGATGGATACCCTGGAGGCTGTTTGCCAATTGACAGGGACCGATGGCTCAGGCAACCCAGTTGCCACGGCGGTATCTGGACTGCTGCGATCCTGCACGAGGTTAATCTTTGTATGCCACTGCAGTGCAAACTCTTAGACCCCGACTTTGCTGGCCTCATGATGCAGAAGTGGGCCGAATGATCACAGCCTTGACAATGTGTTACGTCAAGATTTGTTATTAAAACTTCGTTATACAACAGCCTGGCGGCTGCCTCGATTATGTAAAATCATAGTAGTTCCTTTCGGTTTCGGAAAAAATGGAATGGTACTTATACATTCTGTTACGAACCCTTTTTCCTCTTTCTACAGTCGTTTATCTTCTCCGTTGTGAGGAATATTTGCTCACAACCTCACCCCACCATCTCTTCTGCTTTTTTTTTTTTTTTTTTTTTTTAACATCAGTTGGTCCTGCTAGGGATAGTGATACGAGCACCCACCCCTAGCAGGCCACCTGTTGACTCCATTCTAGTCCAGTGTCCCTTATACATAGTTTTCCAGAAAGGTATGATGAATACTTGAGTATGATGGGAGTTAGAAGCTGAGGATTGGCTGCAACATGTCCCGTTCACATGAGAGGACCTCCGTTGAAGCCGGTTCACACGTGCCTACTGAGTCTATGGGATGGGTGGAATCTGTGCATGTGAACACGCGTGCGCAGACAATAAAAATATGGAAAGTAGGGAAAAAAAATGGCCAGACTGCATGTGAAAAAATCTATTGAAAAAAAAAAAAAGGGGGCAACTTCAGTAGAGTCACAAAAACCAGGTTTTTTTTTTTTTTTTTTTTTTTAAATTTTTAATCAAGCAGGGAGCTCCAGTCTATTAGTGCGGAGCTACACTTGCTGGAAAGCGGGTCCCGCGTCCCCAAACATACATTTGTAGATCTGGTGACACCTCACCTGCCGCTGCCGAGGAACGGGCACAGCGTCCCTCGTGAAATGGTTGTCAAACAGTGACTCACAGACTCCTCAAGTGCCTCTTCTGACTCTTCACCCAGTAATAGGCGCCAGAACAGCGTGGAATCCTAACACTATTCTATAACTCCACCACCGTCTGATCTTTCACACAATCACCCTGAGCGCCATATATCTCGCTTTATGAAAACCTTTCTCATTCATACCCATACCAAGCCCAGGGTACCACACCAAACTGAGAGGAAGGGAAGGGGTCAGGAAATTTTGAAAGAGGCTTTAGGGGAATAGCAGGATTGTTCGGTTCGATTTCTCTGGGTAGACTGTGAGGACCCCGGCCTCAATCTTCTTATCGGTAATATCAGCCTTGGGCACTGGGCCCGCTCTGTAATTAAAAAAAAAAAAAAAAAAAGGATCAACATTAGTCCTGTCGTTGAAAATTAAGCAATGATTATTTTTCAACTCTTCTTGGTCCGTTGACGCGATGGATATGATGCAGAATCTCATATTTGGATGAAAGGTAAATAATCTTTTCTCTGACCTTTTCCCTGTTAGTGACAATTACTATTTGTATCTGTTGTTTTAACTTGTTTAATAGAATCAATGAATGCAGGCCCATCCAAATGTGCTCCCTCCATCTCACAAGTACACCTCCTCACACCCAAATTGCTCACGTTAGTGCTTTTTTTTTTTTTTTTTTTTGTTACATTAATGCTATTCTAGTATTCTCCCTATTACAAACAAGTTCATGGTAAACTCGTCCACCCCACCTGGTTATGGAGGTAATACAAAGGTGGAACAATCATGGCAATGAACAGGTCATCACACATGTTCACACCACGCAAGTTGACAAGAAGCGTACAGCAATCGATAACCATCCATCATTACACCAACCCTGTAATCCGCCAAACACAGCCGCAAACTCCACGGTCGCTCTGGCAGAGCCAAAGGACCGGGACCGAAAGAGGGATTTCCAGTTCCAAGGCCAGGGCTGGGATATTTCCAGTTGGTCCCAGATCCTGTCCCACCAGCACCATAGCCATACTGCACCCTGGCATTGAAGAAAGGTGTGCTCAATGGTTTCCGCAACGAGTTTTTCTGCGGGAAAGCCGACTTGCAGAATTTACACCGAAGGAAAAGCTAGACCTCTCTGCTCTAATGTGGATCTATCTATAAGCCAGTCATTTGTAGGGGACATCTATGGGCAATTTGCCATTCCAAGGAAGCAACTTTAGTTCGTTTGGCTCTAATGGATTGAAACTACTTGACGGAGCGTAATGTTTTTTTTTTTTTTTTTTGTGGGGAGCAGCACGTGCTGGGAACCGGGCCCGGCGTCCCATATAGAAATTTACATAGAATTTTGAGTGTAATGTTACCTTACTCACATTCAACTGTTTCATCCATCTTGTTTCAATTATATCCTTAAGATTGACTCTCGGTCTCAACATCCGATAGGCCGATTTAACCTTTAGGCTTCGGCCGATTTAACCTTTAGGCTTCGGCCGATTTAACCGTTAGGCTTTAACGCATGTAGAGACCTGGAATATGACCTCCCATTGCCCATAGGACTGGGCCAGGTCCACGCCAACGGATCAATTGACATATTTTGTATTGGTGTGTCCGGCTTGAAGGCCAGCCATTTGTCTTGTGCTCTCAAAACTCTGATACAAAATATTTGAATCTCCCCTGACCCACTTGATTTCCTCTTGTTGTCTAGGCCTTAGGGAATTATCACTTTCTACATCGAAAATAGTTAAAAGAATGGACTTCGTATAAAATGTCTCCATGATATTACCTACTAATGCTGGCTGATCTCTGATTGCGACCCAGTCGTTTGTCTGGAGCTTGGGAGCATTCCTCGAAATCCAGACCCAATCCAAAGGTATCATATCCACTGCGTCCTCTAGTGCCTTGTGCAAATGGTGACAATAATACAAACGGGCCTGCAAATCAGTGGGGGAGACCCAATCTTTGGTAGTCTGATTCCAAATTTCCTTAATACGTATTACCCCTTTTTTAATCCATCCTTTCGACGGAGAGTCCATACAATGAAGCACACAACCTTGAGAATCTCTGAGGAAGGTATTCTTAAAAAATTAGTTGTTGACACACTTTGTCCCATCGCTCAGGAATAATTTTGTCGGGCAATGAAAGTTTCCTCCATGTTCTTATTAGTGATCCGAAAGGGATCATTACTCTTATCCTTCTAGCGGCTTGTCGGTTTAAAATCTCTTGCAAATGTGATTGTTTGAAGGAGTTTCTGCGGATTGTCCATGATCTATTTTCTAACCATATGTCATTGAGTGGATCCACACTATCTGGTGTAACTGGCGCAAGTCTCCTGATTTGTTCA